GTGAATCGAGCGTGAACTGTCTGTTTACTCGTTCTCCCCGGGCCCCATGTGTAGAGGCCCTCAGGAGCCGCTGTGGTAGAATCCCGTCTGTGTATTTCAAATCTTTCAGCATGTAGACGTGCAGCCAGCACAGTCATTTACTCAGGTTCACAGCATTCCTATGTATGCCGTCCAAAATAAGAAGCGGTATGTGTGTGTGTGTGTGTGTATGCGAGAGTATTTCTAAGCAGTCTGTCTGTCCGAGTCTTGCTTTGCTGTCCAATATCTACACAACGAACCACATGGGGAATGTCGAATTCTGAGAGCTGGGAAAGAGAGAGTACTGGGGATAATAGTAGCGTGTTTGTGACCTCAGCAGGGTTGAATGATGGGACCTGTACTAATTCTCTGAGCCCTTTTTTAGTGATCCAGTGTCTGTCATGCAATGTAATGGAGTGGAACAGGTCATGCCACATGAGTTGTTTACAGTTGTCCTGTCTGATCTCTGCTGGAGGGGCCAAAAAAGCCAGAGAGGCATTCTGGCACAAGGCAAGGGCATGTGAATGTCTGCGCCCTTAGTGAACCGAGAGTCTGAGATGTAAGACATACTAGACTTATGGTGCAAGGAAAGCAAAGGAACGGAAAGGAAACAAGAAAAAAGAGAGGAGATACAGGAAAGTAAACAGAAAAAAAGGAGAAAAGGGAAAGAAAAGAGATACACCTGTCTTTTAGATTTTTGATATTTATTAAAATAAACTGTAAATTCATATCTACACTGTAAAAAACTTCCTGTAGAAATTACAGTAACTAACTGGCAGCAGTTCGCTGTAAAAAAGAGATGTAAATCAACTGTAGAGAACTGTATATTAACAGTTAATTACTGGCAGCAACCACAGCTGCTTGGGAAAATTAAAAATATGAAGTTACACAGTTGTCATTGTTTTTTTTTCCATTGTTATTTAATGGAACTGCTAATTTTACAATTTGTGCATATAGTTTTACAGTAACTGAAAAGTGAAGCAAACCAATTACAGTAAACTTTACAGTATAACAGTATATTTTCTATTGTTTTAAAATGCATTACTCAAGAAAGGACCAAAAAATGAATACAATAATAAAATATTTTACAGTTAAACAATATTACACTGTAAATACATTTACAGCAAGTTAAATGACACGGTAAAATAAAATACAGTATTTTTGCTACAAAATAAAATTACATTAAGTTACCAGCGAACTGTGGCCAGTTAGTTACTGTAATTTCTACAGAAGTTTTTTTACAGTGTAGATATGAATTTACTGTTTATTTTAATAAATATCAAAAATCTAAAAGGTGTGCATTATAACTGAGAACTACATGAACACTTCACAGTTGGTTGTGTTACTGTAAGTAATTTTCCTCAAATGCTATTGAGCTTTAAATTTTGGCATATTTTCTGCTTTAGCCCATATTCGTAAAGAAATAAATAGCAATATTTACATATGTCTACATGAACACGTTACAGTTGGTTGTGTTACTGTAAGTCATTCTCCTCAAATGCTATTGAGCTTTAAACTATGATATATATTTTGTGTTTGAGCAGGTTGACTCCCTCTCATTAGCATGTTGTGCAGAGGAGAAATAAATGCGGAACTACATTCAGAAATAAATGAGTGATTAAAAGAAAACAGTTAGGATGAGTTTAGCATTTCCTTAACCATTTTTCATTTGGCCACCAATTTATTTTATTTATTTGACTATTTTCATCACACGTTTAATTATTTATATATGTATTTAAACAAGGATGTAGACAGATGTAAGATGTACCTGTGCAGGTTTGCATGGAGCTACTGCTGGAAGTAGTGATGTTCCTCTTCACTGGAACTTTACCTGCCTGGACAGGTACACCGCAGCTCAGAGTGTAACTGTTCTCAGAGTCTAAATCACACACACGCACATAGAAAAAAAAAACGTTTAAACAGATGTTCCAGGTCCAGGTGCTGCATGCACCCGAGTAATGTTTTGTAGTGCATGTGTATGATATATGTGTGTGTGAGTGGAGAGGGTTGGCTGTCAGGATGACAGAGTATTGGGAATTTGTCTAGAGAGTCATTGGCCTGACTTCGGCCTTGCAACAAATCGTCCACATCAGGATCCTTGGATACTCACCATCAGTATCCTACTCACCATCAGTATCCTAAAAGAGAAACTCTTTTGACTTTTTTATAGTGGTGTGAAAAAAATCGGAATTCAGTCACTTGAACCATGTAATGTAAATGTGGCCTAAGTGATAAGATTTTTATCACCTAAAAATAGGTGACAAAATACCATAAAAAAAATAAAAAAAAATACCATAGCAATGAAAGAGAGAGATCCGTGTCATATCTATAGCCCAAATTATGGTGACCAGACTCTTTAGGATTGGACCAGAAAGCAACCATCGAGAACACCATAGCAACACCCTAGCAGCCACATAGCATCTACCTTGAAAACGTTAGAAACTATCTAGAAACCACACTGATCACTCTAGCAACGTTAATCACCCAGAACACCCTAGAAGCTACTGTGAAACCACCTAGCAACCACCCTGAACATCCTAACAGCCACACAGCAACTACCCTGAACACACCCTTGAAACCACCTAGCAACCATCCTGATCACTCTAGCAGCATTCTAACAATCACCAAGAATACTCTAGTGAGCTGCATAGCAACTACCCCTTAAACCCTAGAAACCCCCTAGCAATCATATTAAACTTCCTAACAACCACACAGCAACTACCCTGAACACCCTCGAAACCACCAGGCAACCATCCTAATAGCGACATAGAAAGTGCATAGCAACTAACCTGAACAACCTAGAAACCACCTATAGTAGCAACCACCCAGAACACCATAGTAACCATCTAGCAAGGCCCTAGCACCCACTCAGAACACCTTAGTAACCAAACAGAAACAGCCTGGCAACTGTCCACAACTCCCTAGCATCACTGCTGTCAAAATGTTTAAAAAAAGTTAACTTGTTACAACCACACCAGACTGGCAGCTATTTTTCCCCTGATAGATCGTCTGTCATCAAGAGAATAAAAAAGCAAATAAATAATTAAAAACTAAAAGTGTAGCTTTAAAAATAAATCAAGGGATAATACACAAAAAGAGATAAGAATGACAAAAAGAAAGATGGATAGATCATCTTAGCAGAGCTGGTGCAGCCAAAACATAGCGATTCACCAACACACCCCTCAATAAAAACACACATACACACCCCACACATTGATAGCCAGGAATAGGGTGGTGTGGTGTTTTGGTTTAGCTTAATAAAATAATTTCTGTTTGTACTCCCACTCGTGCTCCGACATGCTTTCAGGAATCTGCTACCATTCACCTCCAGTAAACTCAACTAAACACACACACATCTCATACGACACAAAACGGTTACCAGCATCCCAACCAAACAACAGCCAGCCCATGAGGTGCTTTTGATGAGGAGGTTTGGGACAGTGTGTGAAGACAGCTTCTCTATCCACAAGTCGCCCAATGTAGGCATCGTTGGTTTTAAATATTAGTCTACCCAAAATGTAAATTCTTCAAATAAAAATGAAGATGTTTTGCAGAATGTTAATGCTGTTCTTTTCCATACAAAACAGCAGGTGGTGAACAGTTAGCGCCAAGCTCCAAAATTGAAAAAAAAAAAAGAACCCCAAAACTATACTTGCACTATTTTCCAAATCTTTTTAAGTTGTATGATGGCTTTGTGCGATAAACGGACAGATATTCAGAAAGATTCATAGACAGTCGTTATTCAGAAAAATGTCAAGCTGTTGTTGTACAAGTATGACTGCAATTTGAGAGCTGCAGCAGAGAGGAAGATTTTTAAAACCTACCTAAATTTATGAATAAAACAAATATATAATATAATTTTTAGTCATGTATGTCACTTTAATACTTTTATTGTTAGTTTTGAAGCTTTAAGTTGTTGTATGTATAAGAGCAGCCTGAACATTTTGCTAAGCATCTCATTTTTTTTCTTCAACAGAAGAAAACTACAGTGGAGAGGAAGATGTTCACTCAATAAAAAAACACATTTAGGTCCATTCTGATACTTTTTGATTGATACTGAGCTTGAAGTTGTATTAAGTAAGTATAAGAGCAGCCTGAACATTTTGCTAAATATCTCCTTTTTTATTCCATAGAAGAAAGCAAGCCATATGACAGAATTTTTATTTTGGGGTCAACAATCCCTTTAAGGCAAATCTTAAAGTCTAATAGTAAAAGACCCATTTACATCTAAAACATTAATTTGTAAATCCACCCAGAAAGCAGAAACAATATGTAGTGTGAAAGGTGACTCACCTTGACAGGTGCGTTCGTTAGTCAGGAGTTTGTGTCCTTTCTGACAGCTGCACTCAAAACTGCCCACCGTGTTCCGGCAGAAATGATCACATCCTCCATTATTCTCCAAACATTCATCGATGTCTGCAGAGAAGAGGAAGAGATAATGATAATAATGGTGAAAAACACTAATATGGGGGTATAAAACCAGTACAAGTATTCTCATAAACAGCTTTTTGGATATATAAACGGTTATCCTAAACAGGCAGCCACATACACACCTTCACAACATCATCTTAAATATATCAGCCAACCCTGGCACGCCGTCCACAAACCCAATAAAAGCTAATCCTGTCAACAAATGTGTAGGAAACTGTGTGTGTGTGTGTGTGTGTGTGTGTGTGTGGATTTTGGGGTTTCCTCTGCAGTTATTTCAGTAGCTGTAGCAAACACACGTTGGCTCAGGTTTGCACTAATATTAACTGAACTGAGGTGGGACAGAAAGTTTGCAGTAAGCTTAAGACCACAGATACACATGCTATCTGAACATGGGGCGGCACCATTACATAAGGCAGGTAACGTGCCAATTTACACAAATCAACAAGTCATTATGGTTTCATTTTATTCAGATTCAAATTTTAATATTAAATAATCTCGTTTAAACTAACAGGCATGCATTAAATTGACTGTGAATACATGATATACATTGATAATAATAATAATAATAATAATAATAAAATGTTTCTTAAATAACAGATCAGCATATTATAATGATTTCTGAAGTATCATGACCATGAAGCCTGGAGTAATGATGAATGAAAATTCAGCTTTGCCATCACAGATATAAATTGTGTTTTAAAATATATTAAAATAGAACAATTATCTTAAATTGTAATAATATTTCACAATATTACTGTTTCTTTTAACATTAGTATTAACGTTTCTGTATCTTTGATCAAATAAATGCAGCCTTGATGAACATAAGACCCAAAGGTCCAAAGGACCCAAACTTTTGAACGGTATAAGATATAAGATCTGTATAACGATATAAGATCTGTAGCATACTTTTAAAATGAATTATTTAGAAAGAAAAACTGAAACATGTAGAGTACAAAAGTCTGAGCTCACTAGTGAAAACAAAAAAATTTTATATCAAACTTTCTTTGTTTTAAATACATCAAAATGATAAAACTCCCTGTTTTTTTTAAAGGTTTAAATTAGAATTTGTACAGCAAATTTTCAATATGATCTCAGACTTCTGGATCCAACTGTATGAAGTAGACTTTAACAGGTAACCTTAGTTATCAAATGTCAAATAGTTGTACAACTCTATGCTAAAAGTTACACTGTGTCAACTAGATTGAAAAATATATGAATCACTCTCTTTTAAACAGAAACTGGAACTATACATCATTTGATTTATATGATTATATGCTTCCTGTTTCAGCATTCAACATCAGCATCATTCAAACTGGAGCTGTGACCACAATTTCCCTGCTGGCTTTAAAATCCACACAATCTTACACCACCTAAATCATTCATCTTTACAACTCTGCAACACACACAGTTTGAATAGAATAGAATAGAATAGAATAGAATAGAATAGAATAGAAATATTAACCAGGAATTAATCAGTCTATTTTCTGTCTACCTGTTCAGGTTAACACACTCTATAGTCATAGTTGACAATGCCCATTATATTAATAAATCATCAGAATCTCTGCATTGAAAAGATGTTGTCTAGGAGCTTGATAGCTAGTATAACATCATGCTGATTCATTAACAGAGTAAAAACATTAATGCATAAATGACATAATGGAATATTTAACAGTGATTGAGCATTCACACTTCCCGAAAACACTCACACACAAACATGCACTTTATTCCAATGGCTCCTTAGCGCAGGCAGGGGGCTAATGATATTCCACATAATGAAGTTTAATGGGACTAAATAAGCTTTGAGTTTAAGCAAACATTGGACATTTTTCACATCTGTAAATGATAAACAACTGCAGCGACGGTGAGAGGCTGAGAGGCTGAGAGGATTCATCTACATCGATTTTCGATCGGAAACGAGGAGAGTAAACACACACAGCACTCAGAAACGTCTTTAAAAAAACAAGTGCTCTGCTAACCTGATCCGATTTGAAAGAAAGCAAGCAAGCTCGCAAGAAGAATGTGGAATCCCCATGAGCTCCAGAGCGAACGGCTGTACTCAGGGATGTGTGTAGCCTTACCAAAATTTAGAGCAAAAAGCAATTAAAATTAATGCATTTGTGGAAACATGAACCTCTACAAATAAGTTGGGACAGTTTTCAACAAAAGGAGTGTTTTTGCCGATCGTTTTCAGGCTGCTCACCTCAGGCTAGCTAATCTCTGAGAAATGCGCCGTTGAACGCTCCAGTGTATTTTTTGGAGATTTAAATGGCCTGTTTTATTTGCTTTGTTCATAAAGGGATTTTGCCATGTAATAACACAGGCGCTGCATGTCCAGAGCCGCCAGGAAAAACGAGCGTGATTTCGCCCCCGACACTAAAACTCTTCGGAGCGTGCGGGGGTCCGTCGGGGCATCTCAGTGTCATCCGAGGTGATGCCGACTGGCTGCTATTGTGCGGATTACTCGGCTCGGCATGTATTAATACAAATGGATCCTCTGTGCCAGAGCTCACTGTCCCGATTACAGAGAGAACTGGAGATCTGAGGGAGAAAACAGGCCTGCTGTATGACCCTTACCAGCTCTACAGTAGACTTTACACAGTGCTGACTGGTAACTGTGAGGACAGGTAAGCATTCTGAAAAGACCCTAACAGCATCAAGATCTGGTCAGAACAACACTGCATATTTATCAAGAATCACCTACTTAGACAGGTGGAGATCAGACAATCACAGATCATAACAACAGAGCAGCATCTTTGCAAAAGTCCTACAGACAATACAGAAAAATAGCAAAAAATAAATAAAATAAATAAATAAAGTAAAATAAAATAACTAATAATAATAATAAAATAAAATAAAAAATTACATTATTTATTTTATTTTACAATTCAATTAACCAATTCAAAAGTAAACCTAATTCAGAAAAACAAAGCAGAATATAACGTTTTGCTCATGGGTATCTTAGTTAATAAGTTCCTCAAACAAAACTGAATATCTTTAAGATTTAAATTTTACTTACCTGAACAACTTAAAATTAAGTAATTATAGTGCATGCAAAAACCAACTTTTTTCCCAAAAAATTGATATATTTAAAAAAAAAACTTTTTCCACATATTTCTGTAAAATTAAATAAACTCTTATTAATTTATTAATTTACATTTTATAATAATAATAATAATTAGTTGTAGTAGTAGTAGTAGTATTAAAATAATTCATAATAAATATAATAATTACTATTGTTATTATCATTACTGTCAATTATTATACATATTTTAATACTCATACATTATTATTATTATTAATCATTTTGTCTTCATTAATATGTATAATAAAAAATACGGCATCATAATTATAAGAAGAGTTGTTGTTGTTGTTGTTGTTATTGTTATTACTATAATAATAATTATTAGACTTATTATTAATATTTTATTATTATTATTATTAGCATTAGCATTATTATTTTACAAGTAATAATAATAATATACAATGCCATTCATAAACTAATATATTTAATTTAACTCAATTTGTTTTATTGTGCACAAATCAGTGGACATTTTTCTAAAGGGGGAAACAGAGTAATTAAATGAGACTCAAAGTTAAAGTGATAATTGGCAATGATAGATTCATGGTTAGATAGCATGGTTATTGCTAGTCAGCTATACTAACAGCTATACTAGCAGCAGAAGAGCAGTAATCAGCATGGTTAACAAATGCTAAACTCTCCTTTCAAACCATTTCAGCCCCAAACACGCAAATATGCAGGCCAGCGGAGACGTGCCTGGGGTACCATCAGCCGGACCGAAGAAACACACACACACACACACACACACACAAAATATTTATTCAAAATTTATTATAAAAACTATTTTATTTTTTAAAAAGTAAGATAATAGTCAATAATTTAAATAATTCAATTTAAATAAGTAAAAAAACATTATTTTATTTTATATTTTCAAATGTTATTATTATAATTTTTTTTTAATGTAATACATGATTGTATATTCCTGTATAAATACATTTAGGCAATACACACAGCTTGATTCACACTAGATAAAAAAAAAAAAATAACATAAAATTGGGCAATCATTATTGAACTCAAAGTCTGTTAGGGGTGTATCCTACCTCCAGCCATTCAGCTTTAAGTCAGAGGCATCAGAGCATAATATGTTGATATGGACAATCGAAAGGACGCTTGAGAAACACTGTTTACTTACACTCTGGACCTCAAGATCCACTTTCCTACAGAGATTAGCTCTAACCTGGATTAAACACACTTACCTGCAGCTTGTTCAGGTGTGTGTGATGAGGGTTGGAGCTAAACTCTGCAGGAAAGTGGATCTCGAGCTCTCCTTTCAAACCATTTCAGCCCCAAACACGCAAATATGCAGGCCAGCGGAGACGTGCCTGGGGTACCATCAGCCGGACCGAAGAAACACACACACACACACACACACACACACAGAGAGATATGAGCACATGCACACAAGATAAACTGTTCGTTCCCATAATTCATTTCCCCCCATGACACCGTACACACACACCTTCTAATCAAACATCTGGAAACTGTTCGCAGTCATTTCAATCACTCTCTCTAGCCTCCCTTGCTCTCCCTCTCGCTCGATATGTTCCCGCGTGCGATCGAGTTTGTGTCTGTCAGCGAGCTGGCCGGGCTCTCCTGTCTGTCATCGCAGACGAAGGGCCTTTTATCAAATTCAGGCATTTAAACATGCCCTAAATAGTTTATATTGAAATGCTTATGTTACAGAGACAAGATGGGGCAGCTCCCTGCGAGACCACTCAGTGAGGAGGGGAAAGAAAGTGTGAGAGAAATAAAGTGAAGACGACAGTGGAAAAATAAGGAAAGGTCATTTGTAGACATTTACACGCACCCACACACACTTATTATAGCAGCGTGATCTGAATGAGATGCACTTTTCTGTTTAGTCTGTGGTTAACGTTGGTAAAAGTGCAGAGTTGCCTGGGTTATTACACAAGTGGCACTTGTGTCTTTTCTGTTATGCACAACATTTACATCCCAATTACATATGAAGGATGAACATTGAACAATATCATTATTGTGCTTTCATCTATTCCAGCCTCCACAGATTTAAATCTAACCCAATAACCATCGGCTAAATAGTCTGTTAAAGATGTACTGTTTGGTCATGACATTTTCCCACCGGTTAATCGATGTGTGACAACACCGGTAATACTGATATCACCGTTGGGGTGTTGGGGGGGGCGAAAACCTTCTTTTCTTAGCTTTCAAATGGCTTCACTTTTTAATTATTTCAATTTAATTTAATTTAATTTAATTTAATCATTCAATTGCCGCAATTCGGCATCAAGCAATTGTTCGTTTGAGCTTTTCCTCGGATTTCTTGGCTTTCAAATAGCTTGAAAACTGAAAATCAGCAAACACTGTGGAACCAAATAAATAAGAAACATAGAACGTTTATTAGCAAAACGAATAAGAAAGCTTGGAGGCACGGCAGATACACCTTGATGTAAATTAAAATAAATAAAATAAACAAAGTTTAAATAAAGTAATCAGCAAACACGGTGGAATCAAATAAATAAGAAACGAATGTTTAAAAAAAACTTCCAGTCAATAGGCTTTTCAAAATCTAAAATATTGGCAAACAGGCGCCTTTGCATTTCCTTTCTAAACAATCTTCTGCCATCGTCTTGTCTTTCTCCCCTCACTCTTGTCAGTCAGCTCGACTCACTCTCCTCACGTGATAAATAAAATCGGACTCCTGCTCTGTGGTGCACTGTCATTCACGCATGGTTCGGCACGCTGCATTGAGCGTTTAGTTTTTAAAAGTGTCTGTCCTCTAACTGAACTAGGCTAAATGATTTTTGTTTCTTTAAATAAATCAAAACGACGGTGGGGGGCGGTGCCGAGGTAGGCAAATTACGTAACCGGTGTTGCGGCTTAACACCGGTATAACCGAAAACACCGTCTATCGCAGCAAGCCTAAGTTAGAGTCCAATGTAACATCCTTTAGGTGGATGCTCGGCCCTGTTTTTGCACCCTTGTTCTTTTACTAACGAGCTTGATTACATGCTATTTTTACAGAGTTCACTAACAGGCAGTAATAAGCGGTCACTGGTACAGCACACCTGTGATAATTGACCTGAAAGTATGTGTGTGAGTGCATGAGTGTGTGTGTGTGATAAATGGTGTGTCAGTGAACAGATCTAAGGCCTTTTGCTGGATTTATGAAGGCAGACCCTCAGGCGGGCCTAATTATTAGGGCGGGTCACAGCTGAACCAGACCAACATCCATCTTACAGTACAAACACAGAGATACACAATACACCCCTCTAATGCCATCATATTAAAACTCACAAAAAAGTACAAGATAAAAAAATGGGACAATTTTAAAGATGTTGTAAAATTGAACTTCATTTCTATTAGCTTTAAAGCTGGCAAACTCCTAAAAAGTCGACAAAATGAACCTTTCAATGCTGATAAAAACATTTTAAACCAGCCTAAAATGGTTGGCTGGTCTGTCAGCTGGTTTTAAAAAGGTTTCAGCCACTTAACAGCTTGTCAACATTGGGAGACCATTCTAAATCAGTTTTACTTCTTTACATTTATTTTTTCTAGATAAATTTACAGTATTTCTACTGTATAGTAAAATATTGACTCATCTTGCACTCAGGGACAAATTTTTGTACAATCAAAGAGATACACAAAACACCTCATGCTAAAACATTACACCCCTCTAATGCCATTATATTAAAACTCACAAAAGGGTACATTATTGTATGTTACAAGATAAAACGGTTGGAAACATTTAAAGACCACAAAACCAGTCGGTCAGCAGGTTTTAAAAGGGTTTCAGCCACTGAACAGTTTGTCCACATTGGGACACCATTGTAAACCATCTTAAAAACATGCAAACCAGCTTAGGCTGGATTAACTAGAGCTTTTTCAGCAGATATTTAGATTTACAGTATTTTTTTTTACTTCCTTACATTATTTTTCTAGATAAATTTACAGTATTTCTACTGTACTGTATAGTAAATATTGATGACTCATCTTGCACTTGTAAACTTGCATATTATGCTATTTTTTTTCAGTAGCAAATCATTCTATTGGCTGTGATGCAAACGAAAGCCTCTTAATTATTCACAAAAAAAGGGTTTCGCCCAAACTTCCTGTTTCAACAGGAAATACATCAGCACAGAAAAGAAAGGTCTATAAAGGCCTTCTAACCTTAGGATGGCGCTATGATTGTGTGTTTATATGTGTGTGTGGTTTTGTATGACAGCCTCACTAATCAAACAGGGGCTGCAGAGGCGTATTGCTGTACATTCGTGCTACATTCTCTTCCTTCTTGAAGAAACCGTCACATGACATGACCATGCCTCGTCACTACAGCAACCACTCAGGAAAATGAATAGAAAAAGCAGTCTATTTCAGACACATTCTCCTGAAGCGACCCACAGGTGCCCATACAGAGATACTCGTTCACCATCACCAATTTAGGTAGAACAGGAAGCAGTTCATTTTGAAGTGTGCAGGTCTCTTGGATCATAGTATGGTCAGTGAGTTCTTGAGTGTGTTTGTTTAGAGAGAACCCACCATCACCCTGTGCCAAGATCGCTCCGCAGTAGTTTTACTTTGAAACCCCTGGTCATTGACGTCAAAGCTGGAATTTCGGAAGAAGAAATGCTTCGCAGCCAAAGCAATAACAACACGGCCATCACCGACCCATTCCACACGACAGGACAAAAGGACGTAAGGCAAGTTGGTCTTGGCTTGGGATCACACACCCCCACACATCCACCAATACTGACCATTTTGAGCAAAAGAATTCATTTAATAACGCGTCTCCAATTTAATCCGAGCCTTGCAGTCTAAATACAGGAAATCTCAAATTGTTCCCTGACATTCAAAAGCACACGGAGGGAGGAAATCAGGACATGCTCCTTGCAACTTTAAACACAAGTCACACAAACACCACACATCTACACTGACCTTTGCAGGTCTTGCCGTCGGGTTGAAGGGTGAAGCCCACCGGACAACTGCAGCGCACCCCGGTGGCCGTGTCCTTGCAGGTGCGATCGCAACCGCCGTTGTTCACCGCACAGGTCTCTGGGTAAACAAACACACAGGATGGGACAGACAGAGGAAGTAAGGGAGCATAAACAGGATTATAAATCACTTTTAAACAGTTTTTGACAGTATTAGACACGGTTAACTAAGAACTAAGTTGTAAGTTGTTTTGAGAGCTAGGCTTGACTGCGGCTATTTTTTTGGAGCAGACAGAGGAAGTAAGGGAGCATAAACAGGATTATAAATCACTTTTAAACAGTTTTTGACAGTATTAGACGGTTAACTAAGAACTAAGTTGTAAGTTGTTTTGAGAGCTAGGCTTGACTGCGGCTATTTTTTTGGAAGGGTGAATGTAAAAAATTAATCCCAATGGGTGCAGCAGGTAGTTTATTAGGAATAACGAAACTAATACAGCACTTAACCTTAGAAGATGACAAGGTTCGTGACAGACATGAAACACATACTGCATGAAATCAGGACCATCCCTCAGCCTTCCTAAAGCCAAAGATAAAGACTTCCTTGGCAGCTTTGTCAATCAAAATGTGAAATTAAAAACAAACAAAAGGAAATAGTTGTGCTTTTTCCTGAGGTTAAAGTTAACAGAAGGGAAATCAGAAAAAGGACAGTGTTTCTGAATGTGGAGAGTGGAACCAGAGGGTGAGATGGTTAGTCTTGTCACATGAATGACTGTGGAGAGAAAGTCAAAACAAGCAGATCAATTGAAAAAAAAACAAACATTGTTTTACTTGCATTTGGAAGCATATGAAACTGGTTTACCCATTAAAACGTAATATATGAAATGTAATATATGAAACTCAATATGCAACTTAAATACTCAATGTTCCAGCTGCTAACTTGTCTTACATGTGATGTCATCACACAATCATGTTCATATGAAACAATCATTTTATGCAAAAAACAGCCACATATGTATATGAGATTTGTCAGTAGCTCCACCCACTGTGAAATCTCATTAGTCCAAACTCTCACTCCACAATCTATATTAAACATCAGATATGTTCTGATTGGACCAGATTTTATGCCCATAATCACACCTGGTCAGCACACGGTGCAAGGTTAACTTCTATGAAGTCTGATTTTCATGGTCAGATTTACAGTCAAGTTGGGAGCCAACATGTCCATTTGGGATCTTTGCTATAAGCCTTCATGTTTGCTTTTTGTTGACCACACAGTCCAAGACAAAGACCCACAGGGAATTTGATTGAGGATACAAAAGAGTCAAGGCGTAGAAAATCTCCATCCAAAACAGGACGTTTTTTTCTGCAGGATGAGGGAGTGGGTGAAGCGGCTTTCTGTTAATGATTTATTAAGCATGTCAAAAGACCCTGTTATTAGAGTCTAATGCTATGGGCAATTCAACTGCTCCAAGAACAGCTGGACCGTCTTTTGCCCAGGGACATGTACATGGGACACGCAAACAAAGTTTGATTAAGTTAGCTGTGAATGTCTGCACCAAATACCTGCATCAAATATTCTCAAAAAGGGGTGTGGTTAACTCTAAATGGGAGTGGTCTTCTGATTGATGGATTTGTATGTTTATATATCTCTCCAAGACGAAAGATGAAGATTCCTCAGCCATCATGTTCGTGTTCGTCGGCTCCTGTTGGCGAATGGCCAGATAAAACTAGAAGCCCACAGATGACTGGAGAGAATTTGACTGAACGTCCCACTGCTCAAAAGCAGCCCTTCTTTGGGAGGTGGAGGAAACCACAGATCGAGGGCTTCATTGCCTACAACAACTTTCAGATGAGGTGGTAAATCCGGGCTGCACACCATCTTCAACGCTCGGTGCCGAGAGACAGCTGCCCAGAGGTGTGTGACGTTTATTTGCATCACGCTCTGGAGGTCAACACATCAGAATCAGCCCCTTTCCACATGTGCCCGACACATGGCAGTTTATTTAGATCAAATTCCTTCAATTCCCCCCTGCTGCTAAGTGACCACCTTTTAAAAACACCTCTTTGTGTTCGGGGTCTCACTTTCTCTTCTTGTTCTCCTCCTCTCCAGTCTCTGGGTTTCCCCATCATGCCTGGGTACAATAGAAGCTTTCTTTCTGACACCGATTTTCCAGTTTGTCAGGATTGGTCACATCCTGATGCTGTTGGCCCCAGCTGTGACAAGAGGGCAGGATGAAGCGGGAACGCCGAGTGTCAAATGTAGCATTCTCCTGTGGCTCCTGTGTGATAGAACACACTATCCTACTATAGGATACTACTATAGCCAAGCTATTTGTGTGAATCTGTCATAATGGGCCCATTTGTGAATCATGAAACTTGGAACATGATCTTAGACTGGCTGGTGAAATAATGAGGTCAGTGAGTTAGACGGTGGTGACATCACATGTGACTTGTCGACAAGTTCTCAAAAGTCTTCACAACGTTCGTCTTCCATATCAAACGGCCACTTGTTTACCTCAGCAACAGAAAGGACGAGCAGTGAAGGAGGGAGAGAGAGAGAGAGAGACAGAGATACAAGAGATACAGAAAAAGAAGGGGCAGGCTGGATACAAGTCAAAAGACAAACTGCATGATCATGAGATGATGACAAAACAGAACACAGAAAGGACACTGTAGACACTCAGTGACAGAGGAGGAGCTGAAAGGAGGATGACATGAGAAGGATGGAGGTCTCATGGTGGGTTCCATGAGAGGAAGGTGGAGCATGCCGAGAGGTGGATGAATGACAGAGTCTGGGGCAGCGCTGGTTGCCTGTTTGTCTATGGAACACATATTACAACTGGTTTTGACAGTCGAGTCAATGCAGAAAACCGCTTTCCGAGTGTAGGGAATGGCCGGGTGCGTGTTGTGAGGATGGTAATGGCTTCCGAGCATGCAGATACAAGCACAGGATTGGTGTTAGAGTGTAAGGGGGTGGGGTTTTGGGCCCAATCCTGAATGGGTGGAGGCAAGAAGGGCCAATCAGGATGTGGACGTTTGCCTTAAAGGGACAGTTCACTCCAAAATGACTGTTCTTTCATTATTTCTCTGTTCCAAACCAGTCTGACTTTCTATCTTTTGTAGAACCCAATAGTAAATACTAAGCAGAATGTTCACACTGCTCTTTTCTGTTAAACGAAAGGGGACAGAGGCTGTCAAGCTCTAAAAATAAAAAAATAAAAAACGCACCATAAACTTAGCCCGTCTGACAATATTTGTAGGCTTCTGAAGATATATAAGCTGTGTGAGAATAACAACAAAATTTAAGTCTTTGTTGTGCTGAAAATCATCTTATTTTTGTTTGCATAGATCCAAATAAGGTACATCAAGATGCGTCATGCCAAGTTTAATGTCAAAAATAATCAATATGTCCTGATGTGGAATATTTGAATGTATGACTTCAAAATTTTTGATGACATATGATAACTTTGTGTGAGGAACAGACCAAATGTTAAGTCTTTATTTGCTGAAAATCATCTTATTTTCATTTGCATAAATTCAAAAATGGCACATTGAAATGCGTCATAGCTAGTTTGCTGCTACACGTCCTCATGTGCCATATTTGAACGAAGGTCAAAATTGAGACCAGTGATTTTTATCGTGCTTTTTGTTTTTGGTGCTTGACAGCATTTGTCCTATTGTATGGAAGAAAACGAGTCTGCACATTTTCTTCCTTTTTTCCACTCTTTTCCATCTTTTGGTTTTGCACAGAAGAAAGTTAGTCATACAGGTTTGGAACAACATGAGGAAGAGTAAATGGCTTTGGGTGAACCCTCCCTTTAAGATCAGGCACTGAAAATCTGTTTGTCCTCCCGTCTTCAGTCACAGACTGGAGGACACTAGAATAACATTGGGTGCGCATGTTTATAGAAATCTATCTGTATATTTGTGTGTTCATGATTTGAGTGTATACAGACTTGGCTCTGACTGGCCACATTTAGAGGACTCCACCAATCAGAGGTTGGAGTGAGTGCGATGTCACAGAAAAATTAAATAGATAAGCAAAAGACAAAATTATCAATTATCCACTACCTCTAATGTGACTACAGTAACCAAAAAAAGTACAGAGGGGTTACTATTAATGTTTTTTTTACCAATAAAGAAGGAAAAACAACGGAATAGAAACAAATTTCACACGGACAAAACCATGCAGGCGAATGACAACTCATGCGTTAGTGTGAGAGGACAGGAAGTGAGCCGATAAGAAGAAAGCAAGAGTGCAGGGAGAAGGAAAACATGCAATTGGCATGAGGAGGAGTGAGGGACGCTCTAAATGAAAAAAGAGTGACAGATGAAAGTGGAGTGGAGGCCAGTTTTGCATTGTTTAGTGACTTTTTATTCAAGGTTGCAGATGGGGTTGGTTCATGCTTGTTGTGGGAGGGATCAAGGACGAAGAGATGCCATTGGCTGACTGATTTCAGAGGGTCAGGCAGGGGGGCGGGACTGGTGTACAGATTGGCTGGTCAGAAGGGATGCTGTTTTCTGATTGGTGGGGGCGCTACCGTTGATCAGGCTGCAATTGAGAGGTGTGTTTAACCCGTTTTACCCTTTCTTTCTTGCATTCGTTAGTAGATTTGCTTAAAAATCTCTTTATTCCAGTCAGAATCACCCTTTAAATTGCAGACAAGACAGGCAATCAGTAACTTTCACCAGAGAGGCAGGAGGAAGAGCAGGGAGCCCATGAGACACGGCACACACAGGAGCGAAAGGGGGATCCTAAAGGAGCGCTAAACACAGGGAAAGACCAGACCCACACAGCACAGCTAAACACACAGACCACAGCAAGGGTCCAAAGAGACAGAGAGAGAGGTAGAGGAGGAGGAAGAAAGGAGGAGAGGGGAGACAGGGATGGGTTGGGAGCAGTCTCTACACTCCTCTTCTGGTCCCTGCGGCCGTTTGGTGTTGCTCCGTGGAGGCTGGAAAGGAAGAATTGATTGAGTTTGATGGGAGAGAATTTGCTCCGGGCTCTAAGCTGCCAGAGAGAGACGAACCAATCCAGTGTACAGCAATCAGCAGGTACAACAAAACACAATTTTGTGCTTATGATCCTGTGACCAATGGAAGTGTGTGCATACAACCATAAAAAAGTAACATTCAAATTCATTTAAATTATGCTAAAAGGTAACTATTTAAAGCCATAGTTCTCTCAAAAATCAATATTCTTATCATTTTCTCACCTTCATGTCATTCCAAACCTGTATGACTGACTTACTTCAGGAAGCTAAAGAAGATATTTTGAGAAAATTGCAGTGTATTTTTTTCCCCACACACTCTCAGAAAAAAGGTACAAAAGCTGTCTCGGAGGCAATACCCTTGTAAAAGGTACTAATATGTATCATTTAGGTACTAATATGTTCCCTGAATGGGTCCAAAACAGCAGTGGACCCTATTTACTTTCATTTCAAAAAAAGTTATTTAAAATATATTATTTTATTCTTTCACAGAACAAAGAAAATCATACAGGTTTGCAATGACAGAAGGTTGAGACCATTTTCATTTTGGGCTGAACTATCCCAATGCACATTATTCCTTTCATTAAAATGTTTTGCACAACAAAATCTTAAATAGTAGAAGAAAAATCATTTGAATTTATGTACAACCACATGAGATTAAGACAAAACAGTAGCATAATAAAAGCTGTTTTACCATTTTGAGATCACATGACCAGCCAAATAGTATTTATGTTATCTCTGTAACCATCCTGCTACTGGACAATTTTGTGGAAGCTTGTGGAAAAATCAATCATGCCTGATTATAAATAAGGCATTTGTGCATTTGCATCAAGACGACTGACATACTAGGACGACATAAACAAAATGCTCCTTTAAACACACTTCTAATGTCACTAAAAATCTTGGAGTATCTTGGACTGAGCGTGAGGATCTGATTGGTCACACTGTGGTGCGATAAAAAATATATAACAGTGTAAATGTGTTTCCTGTGTGCTTCTGATGACTGATGACCCTTCACTTGCTCACAAGCCCATTTGAGCTCACTAAACCCACCTGCCAACTACTAGCTCTCAATCTCCTCATTACAATGTTTTAGTCCCAGCTCATGTGCACACACACTGTCTGGAAGGTTTTATGCTTACACACACCTTGAGTAATGATAACGACTGATCTAAATGTTAAACTTGGGGCGTATGTAGCCTTGTAACAGGAAGAAACTTTCATCAGATAATGATGTGGTAGCTGGCCTTCAGTTTCAGCAAGTTCATTGAGGAGACGGCAAAGACTTGTGAGAGCCAAATGACATAAAAGATGCTCTTTGGAACTCATGCACACACGTTGGCACAAGAAGTCATAAAAGCCAGTCAAACATTGCAGAGGACACGAGGTTCACCCTAAGAAAACAAGCATAAAAATTAAACTTACCTGCAACGGGTCATTTGTCTTCCCGAATTTCTAAAGAAAGAGAGAACCGAAAAAGAAAGAAAACCCCTATTTCCTCTTCATTTCTGAAGTATTGCCCCTGGATGCAGCCGTACCCACATGGCATATTAAGTTTTCCCTTTCTGCAAATATGGCAGAACTCCATGGGCCGACTGGTTGGTTTTTCCACCATTATCAGGATGATGAATGTATTTTGCACACTGAGAGTTCAGCGATGAAATTTCCATCATCAAGCACCTCTTCCCAAATCGACACAAGTACACACATCTCTTTCACCCAACCCACCCTTACGTAGTTTCACTAGAGCAAAGATACATCAGAAGTCTCATTTTCTGCTCTAATAGTCGCATGGAGCTGTGTGTGTGAGACAATGAGAGCATGAAAGCCAGATGAGAAGATGACTGACCAAATTAGCTGTGTCACTCCCTGAGTGTCAAAACTAATGGGCTTTTCCATCATTGAATTAGCCGCTAACTGCTAAAGCAAGCATTGCCATCCAGATTGGATGCTTTCATGGATGCCACATGGGCTGGGATTTGTAGATAATATATGAAACATGAGGTCAATCTCTGAATTTTCTCTTCTCGTCATTGTTACTAATGACAAACCTGTTGTGTCATATTTGAATGTATGCACATGCGATTAGAGAGTATTTTATTGGATTTGTAGGTGATTTTGGTCATTTCAGTAGCTCCATTAGACATCTAATAAAACTGAATGAAGACAGGGGCTGTGAAGCTACAAAAAAGGTACAGATGCTCTGATATTACAATCCTGTCTGATACTGATAAGCCAATTTCATTTGTTTTAAATTGAGCCATTACAACATTATAACCTAAAGTACAACACATGAATAGTCATGAATCTCAGATAAAGGTTATGTGTCATATTTGAATGTATGCACATGCGATTAGAGAGTATTTTATTGGATTTGTAGGTGATTTTGGTCATTTCAGTAGCTCCATTAGACATCTAATAAAACTGAATGAAGACGGGGCTGTGAAGCTACAAAAAAGGTACAGATGCTCTGATATTACAATCCTGTCTGATACTGATAAGCCAATTTCATTTGTTTTAAATTTAGCCATTACAACATTATAACCTAAAGTACAAAAAATGAATAGTCATGAATCTCAGATAAAGGTTATATTTAATAGTGTTATTAAACTATTCATGTTTTTTTGTTTAATTTTGAGCTTTAGGCAATCAAAATGTAAAACAGGCAGAAATAAACATGCACAATTAAATATAATAAGCAATATATCCAATTTATCATGCATTCCTAAAAAAAGCACTATAAAATTGCAAAAAAGCACTATAAAATTATATGCAAATATCATTTGCCTTTGTGCACATTAAACACTGTGCATTAAAACCACACCAGATTTATTTGTGAACAAAAATGAGATTTGAGACAACTTTTATGGTGTTTTTCTATTACTTTTGTAGCTCAACAGCCTCCATTCATTTTCACTCTATGGAAAGAGACGTTCAAATCTCCTTCCATGTTCCACGGGAGACAAAAAGTCATACAGGTTTGGCATAATATGAGGGTGAGTAAATGATGACAGAATTTTCATCTTTGGATGAACTATGCCTTTAAAGTTTTGCTTCATGACTGAAGGACGCTACAATTGAACTGCACATGTTTACAGATCCCCCAACCACAAGGAAGCAGTTTGTTCCTGGATGACACATGGGCTGGGATGTGGGGTGCTCGTCTCTGAGATGTGAGGCCAATCTTTGGGGTTAGCCATGCCAGAACCCAATGCACTCTCTTTACCGCAGCGTACCGGGACCCTCAGTGCTGTAACGGTGATATGGACCATTCGGCCGGCCTACAGAAACTCCTTCAACAAACATTCTGTCCAATCTGTCAGAAACAGCCTTGCACTTATAACCCTGGTAAAGCTCACTCACCTCACTCTCTCCCTTGGCTCATTGTGTAAATACGACGAGGCCAAGGTTTCCATGAAGAAGAGCTAAACGACAGTGTGTGTGTGTATGAGAGAGTGACTTACCAATGCAGGTCTTGCTGTCCGAATGCAGGGCATATTTCTGATGGCATCCACATACGGGCCCCACGTCGGTGTCATCGCATGTGTGTTGGCAACCACCGTTTCCATAGTTACATGTCACTGGCAACACACAAGAACTGTGAGGAGGGCTAAAAAGAAAAGTGTACTGCCATGGACACCCTTTTAATCAAGGTACATATTTAGTCATGGACAGATATTTGCTATATAAAAATGTATATAATCTTGTATATTTAGGATAGTAAAATAAACTTATCAAAGGAAGACAAAATGTGTCCAAAAGCTTTTGCTGATGTCAAAGGGCTTTGGCTGGACAAAGAGACTGACTAAATATTTCACATCTAATACACTGTGCAATACAGGTGCATCTCAATAAATTAGAATGTCGTGGAAAAGTTCATTTATTTCAGTAATTCAACTCAAATTGTGAAACTCGTGTATTAAATAAATTCAATGCACA